GAAATTAAGGGGCACTTAGCCAAAGATATGGGAGTAGGAATAACAGTTCCTTATTAGTATGTATAAATAAGAATAAAAGAAACCCCTCAACTTAATGGGAAAATTAAAATAAAGTGCAGTACTACAAGAAAACACTGAGAGAGTCAGGATCTGACACCCTGTTGGTCAGGGTGTTGGTAGCAATCTGATTAAGTGGTGGCTGCAGTCCTTCTGCAGTGACAGATGTGGTTCTGCTGAAGCAGTGATCATGTAGAAGGATGTAGTTTTCCTCTGCAGTTCCAGTGGTGTAGATGGGTCTGGTCTTCCTCTGGGAATCCAGCAGAGAAAGGCTGCCTGTGGTGTTCCAAGATGCCGATTATACCCAGGTAGGAATGCTTGGCTCCTCCCCCTGGGTGGAGCATCTCACAATGGGATGATGTAATTTTATCAGCCATACAGTGAGACTCAATGGCCCTTTAACAGAAGATATCCCTCTGGAGTTATGAGGGATGGGTCATGCAAGAGATAAAGACCACTGCCCCACCTGTTTTAACAGGTGGTAATAGAATTCATACTTTTGGTTACATTTTGCATTGCAACCTAAGACAGGTTGACAGAAAATGTGGCTGAAGGATGCTGTTAGAGGTTTTCTAAGACACTGAATTTCCCTGGGGTGCTGTTATCCAATACAGCCAACCCAGCACAGCTCTGTGGGGTGCCTGAGTGAGAGGGTCCGTCTGGGATGGAAGTTGGGCTCTCTACTCCAGGTGAAAGAAACTTGCACATGACTAAAAACACAACTCAAACTTCAACCTCATCATTTTTTAAAGGCCAGGAACAGTGCTTTGATCTTTTACAGTCTAATATACAGGAGATGCTCAGTCTTACATTACTACTGTCCTCCCTTTTTCTTCCTGCCTCTCTCTCCCCCTTCAGAGCACTACATCTCTTCTCAGGACAAGAGAAAAATAAGGTGGCAGGTGTAACTCAAACAGGATATGCAAGTTCTGTGTTGAGAAACAGCGCATCAGAGCGAACCTCCGCACCAAAAATACAAGGAGCTGTTCTAGGAACATGTGAGATGATGAGAGTACATGGAGGAAGTACCACCCAAAGCTGATCTTGCACTCTTCCATCAGCATCAGATACTGCAGCTGTTAGCAAGAGGTGGGCTTCAGTGAGGCAATACTGCTGGTCTGGTGTCTGCTCAGATGCAAGATAGTAAATATCCAAATAATTTGTTCTTGTACAAATGAAAGATAAGTTCAGCAGGTTTACAGTCCAGTTCTTCAAAAGAGGGGAAAAAAACAAAAATAAAACAACCCACAAACAACTGTGTGTAAGCTTTTGCAGTTCATCAGTAGTAAAGCTTAAGAGCTGTTTCAGGTTGTTTGTTTTAAGGAGAAATACCTGATCTATACATAAAACTGTTAGTCACAGGGTGTAATTTGTGGTGATACTTACTAGAAATTATAAAACCTTACTCTTTTTGGCAAGTGAAGTCCACTGCAGAGCTTCCTGTGCAATTTTTCTCAGTTTGGTCTTATTTATAGTTCTTGCCCAGTGCAGTGACCACCCTTTTAAAATATTTTTTTTTCAAGACAAGCAATCAATTGAAATATAAATTCCTCTCAGTTATCATGAGTGACTCCAAAAGTAATAGCATCTGTTTGTTTCATCTTTTGTTTTCTCCTTTAATTTACTTCAGCTTGTGGTTCACACGAACAGTGGCTGTTGCAATATCAGCTTGTTTTATTGAAATACTGTTTGCATTTGGCTCCTACACTTCAGGACTTCATGGCTGTTCTAGAGAGGAGTATGGTAATGTGGGTAAATCAAATTTGATTTCAAAGAGTCAACATTTTCATTTATCTGCAAAATTGGAAAATACTTTTGCAAAACAGCAATTTTACAGAGTACATTTGTGAAAACCTTTTTCTGAACAAAATTTAATGCCAGTGTTTTATTTTGCCATGCAACAGTTGCATTCTGCCATCCCTCTTTACAGCTTCCAGTAAAAGCTGCGTAAATCATTTCTTGTAAGAAAGCAAGGGCAGTGGTAAACACAGGAAGACATTCTTACTCACAGCTAATTCTCATTAGCAAATCATAATTTTATCTCTTTCCCATATCGCATGAATTGATCCAGGCTGCAAAGTGTTCGACAGAAGAATCCTTAACACACACTGGACTGTTTAGAGAACGTTTTTTACCTTCCAGAGTCAAATACAAATTAGTTCTACCAAATGGTGCTTTTCTCATTGCGTTACGACCGAAGTATTTGGTGTTTGAAAGCAGATTTCTCCGCAGGTTTTTACAAGCCGTGTCCCTGCCGGGGAAGGAGCCCGCGTTGGAGGCGATGCTGCGGAGCGGGGCCGGGAGCGCGGTGCTTGCGCGGCCGGCCCGGAGGGTGGCACTGGCCCTCCACGCACCGCCCGCCGCCGAGCCCGAAGGTAAGCCCTGCCCCTGCTCCGAGGCAGCGCCCTCGGTCATGTTTTTGTCAAAATATTGGCACCGGTTCTGCAAGTGGCTCCCGAATGGTTTCGGTGCGATAGACACAATGCTGTTTGCCCGGGGGTGAGTAAACAAACCCCAGCCTGCTCTCTGCGTTTCCCTTACCTGGAATGGGCTGCAGGGACTCCTACCGCCCGTGGGTGTGAGCCTGCCGATTGCTGACCGGGATAAGATCGGGAGCTGGGCCATGTGCTATTAAGGGTGATAAACAAGAAAAGCCAGGTTTGGAAACCTCTCTTCCAGATGACAGAATCCTCTTGTATCTCTGTTTCCTCCCGCCCCGCCGTGTGGAATTGTCTATAGGTGCATTTGCAACTTTCATGCATAGCCTACTCAAAAACAAATTGCAGAGTTTAAAAATGATTGTCACCGAAACTATTTTGCTATCACATACTTGACTGCCGGTCGTCTTGATCTATTGTTTTCAGCTACTCATCTAACAGGACTATGGACAACAGCTGTGTACAGAGACAGTAAATGGGCCAGGGAAGGTGGTGAAAATGTCACAGATTTTTCTGATGTGTTCTGGAGGGACAATGACAATGGTATAGAATAAAGAAATACCACACCTTCAAGGAAACTTAAGAGAATTAATGTTAAGGCTTTGGGCACTCTGCTTTGACCTTGCTGTTTATCTCTGAATGACAAAATCTGAAGAACAAAACCAAAGAGTGAATCGCTAACGGAGGACCTATTTTAAGCCCCCAGTTCTGATTGTAGGATTGCATTGTCAAGTCAAGGAATTAGTTAATTTTGAAAGAGGAAAAATGTTTTCCTTTCTTAATTTACATTTTTAAAAACATGTTTGTTTGTTTTCCTGCTCAGCTCCCCACGCCTTGTAAATTGTGAATTTCTCTTTTGGCTATGCATGATAAGAAAATCGTTTTCATTCTACAAGTGTGTTAATCATCCTGTAGCTTAAAAATATCAAAGTGTAAACACCGTAGTTTCTAAAGGCACTGACTTAAAATAATTACACTCATCTGACCGTTGCAGCTCTTTCATTTTATAAAATGAACTGTGGGTTTAAAGTGACTTACTGTTGTTTCACCCCAAAATGAGCAGCAGGGTGAAAAATTAAGTTTTGACGGTGAAATTTGGTGGCGTATAATATCAGTATCAGTAATACTCCACTGGAGTATTACTGATGTGGAAGATCTCTATACTCTGATTACAGTCCCGAATGTGCTGCTGTTAAGAGTTGGGTAAAATATACAGGGAAAAGAGTATTTTAGGGACTGTGGCGGGCTGATGTGCGGCAATGAAGTATTTCACCAAGGGGCTGTCAGGGTTAAACGCTGATTGCACGAAGCTGGAACAAGCCCTGCGCTCCGGGCGCTGACAGTAGCGAGGTTTGGCCACAGGAGGCACAGCCGGCGTGCGCTGCACGGAGCTTTCCCCAATCCCTGCGGGGCTGGGCTCGGGGAGATGCAGATCAGCTCTGGGCCGTGTCCTTCTCTCCCCACCCCCCGGCCCGTCCCAGCTTCTGCTAACCCTTCTTGTCTTCTGATTGCATTGATCCTCTGAGAGGGCGCGCTTCTGCTTGGGCAGGGCACGGTCAGTATTAAGAAGAGATCAGAGCTGGCTTTCTCCCAGCCTACGTGAATGGATTTGGTGTCAAGGGCAAGGAAAGGCAGCTGCTGCTGCCCCAGAGCACCACCCAGCCACCTGTTCGCTAGGGAAAGTGTTACTGGCCCCAGGTGAGGCTCCGGCCTTTCACACTAAGAGTCCCCAGAGCACAGAAACCCTAAACTCGCTCCCTCGGGCCCAAAGAGCAGCGCCTGCCAGAGCTGTACCTACCCCTAAGCATCAGCCAAGTTTCTTTCTTTCAGCTTACAAGTGACTCTCTTAAATTCCCAAGTAGGACCCACAATTTAACTTCTCATTTCGGGGAAGTTTATGCGTGCGCTTAAATTAGAATGTCATCTGATAAGGCACAGTTCCCACATCCACTGTCTTATGACAGCTACACATACTTAATGAACAGTGGCTCCATAGGGTACAGTAAGTGTCCCTGGAATAATAAGGGATATTGCATCTCTTCTGAGGGCAAAAGAGAAAGAAGAAATAAACCGTTTCTGGCTTTCAGGAATTTAGACTCTTATTTCAAACTTAATTTAATTCTTATGGAGAGAGTCCCTGTAGGAGCAGCCAAAGTTTAATCAGTAACACAACAGCGATTTAACTCAATTCTCAGTATCTTAGTCATATGGAGAAGCTGCTGCAAGTGATTAGAAAGCCCATTTCATTGAAATATTGCATGGAAGCATGAAAATTCCAGTGAGGAAAGGCAACAGTCACTTCATCATTCTAGAGCCCATGTTAACGCATCAGCAACTCTCACATTCAAAGCCTTTTTAGAGAAATTTAATAGTTGGGGCACTAATAACCACCCACAACCCTTAATTCCAAGTGATTATTCTAAGCACAAATTAACAGATCTGGGCCATTACTACCCCGAACTGAATCATTCAGAGGGGTGGGAGGAAAGAAAAAAGGCGATACTCCATGGGAATGCCTCAGGATTAACTGCTTTTGTACATTTCCAAGCACTTTTGTCAATAGCATCCCTCGTGTAATAAATTCCTTTTCTAGTTCCTTTCACACTGTTTACAGGCAGATGACTTAGAAGATTGCAATATACACTTAAATAAGATTTTCCAAGTTACAAGAATTACACACATCAGGTAATTTTATTCTTTATAGTCTCTACATATTTGAATTTTTACTTGATAAATTCATAACAATGTATAAGTATTAAAAAAACAACAACAAAACCACAAATCAAAGCCAGCAAACAGTTGGTCCTCAAAGAATAAAGTAAGCAATCAGTTCAATAAACACACTTGATTTATTTTGTATAAAAAGGGTTAAGTTTACAACTAAACTTTTATAAAAAGTTTAGCATGATTAAGTACATCATTACACTTTTTGCAGAAATGTATATTTCTGCCACTATACAAGAAAACTCTAATTAAAGAGTTCACAAGGTTTCACTCATATATATATTTATATATAAATATATACACAGTATTCAGTCCTAGGTTTGTGTCAAAAAGGTAATTTCTGACCACACACTTTCCTAAAAAACTGAACACTGGATCCTTCTGGTACTCACGCTCCACCTTTGGAAAAAAAGGCAAAGTCTGCTTTAAAATGGGCAACTCCTTGTGAGATTTTTGTTTCGCTCCCCACGCTGGGAATAGTATATAAAGGAAGCCTTCCAACTAGGGAAAGGGTATTTAAGAGTCTCTTCATAAATAACTAGGTTCAGTCCAAGTTGAAAAATCGGGTGGGGATAAAGATCAATCTTGATTTTTTTTCTTCTTTATTCATTTTAAAAGGTCCTTTTACTTGAATGTGGATTTCCCCCTCCAGATACAGCTGAAAAATAAATTCAGCACTTAAAAAAAAAAAAAAATCCTGTAGACATTTTCTTGTGCAAAAGAAAAAAAAAAAAATCTCATCAGTGGAACACCTGCAAGAGATTGAAAAGAGGCATATTTAGGAGAATGCTAACAGGGCAGAGATCCGGACAGACTGGCGCCAGAGAGGAAGCCACAGTTTGAACATTTAACCAAACACTCAGAGATTGGGCAAACCCTGGCGTCCAGATGCAACACATACACGCTCACACACTCGCTCTCAAGAGCACAAATTGAACATAAAAATAACATACACTCCAGGGAAAGGCTAAGAAGAGGATTCTCAGTCCAATCTTTATTTAGATCTCTGTAAACGCAGTGTTCTGAGGCGCCAGTCTGCCTCTTAGAGCAATTATTTGATTAAAAGCAGTCACTTATTTAACTGATAGCGCAGACAATCCCACATCACAGAATTCAAGGAATTGTGCCAAGATTCTCAACTTAATCAGTCACTTTGGCCCAGGAAGTTAAGGCTCCAAGAACAGATAAGAATTTGCATTAAACAGCGAGAAGGATCAGAGGAGCCTGTGCTGCTGGGTGAACCTTAGCGACACACACACTTAGGACCTGAAGACTCTGTTGTTATTAGTCTCATTTCTTACTGATTACAAAGGCATCTCCTAATCAACTTTTAGGACCTATTTTTAGCACTTGCCATCACGCCTCCCATTCCCCGGGGAGGCAGTTTTTACCCGAAGTTTAGGAAAAAAGGTGCGCTGCACTCACCGTTTGATTCAGCCACAAAGTGCTTTGCTGTCACTTGACATGAGCTCTGAGGGGAACTCGGACGCCTGCGAGAGAACAAGAGCAGGGTAAGGGCGAGGTGGCCGGGCACTCACCGGGAGGCGGTAGCAGATTGTCCGGGCTCCCGCAGCGCTCCCACCGTGGCGCGTCCGCGTCCAGCCCCGCCGCGGGCGAGGG